TCTTGTTTTTTTTATGGAGAGATTTTTGTGGATATTTGAATTTTTATTACAGATTAAAATCATTTGAAGGACCCTTGAGAATTAGGAAATACTAGGCACTCTGACGAGTCCAAAATAGGACGAAACGCGCGTTCTGGATTCTCCTGCTAGCCAACATCCACCTCTGCTTATATTAACTGTGTTTATGTTGATTGTTTGTTGTTCATTTTAAAAAAAAATTTATGTAGAAAATAGGTTGATAAAACAACCGGAAGTAAACACTTTCATTTTAGTCAAACATTTTTTTTCAAGACAGCAGGCAGGTTAAACAAAATTATATATAGTTTATATATGAACATTCGTTAAAATTTAAATGATATTCAATGTAAAAATTACCTTTAAAATAATCTAAGTGATTGAAATGTAAGTAGTTCAAACGTTTCACTCAATAAACTAGTTCGAACTTCCTTCGGGAAGTAATCGTAATCCACATTATCAAAGAATGTATAAGGTTTAATAACAAAATTATAGTACACGTTTGTCCAGTCATATTTATTTTGTACAAAGTAAAGTAATTAAGCAGTCTGCTGTAAAACTTAATCACCAGATAAGGATTCAAGAGTATATGTGTGTCTGCATGCAGTAGTTGTATAGGGAACAGGACGTTTTAACATTCACTTTTTTGATTTCATCAACTGACTGGATTAACAATAATAGTTCAATATAATTCGCTGTGAGGCAGTTACTCACTAAAAACAATGGTAGGCGGTCGCGCAATGTCGTGGATCGGTAGAAGTTAGACATTGACACCGTTGGACGCCGGCTCAGTGGTCTAGAGGTTAAGCGTTCGCGCGCGAGACCGAAGGTCCTGGGTTCGAGTCCCTCTGATAGGTGATCGTGGATATGCACTTCTGAGGAGTCCCATACTAAGAAGAGATGGCCGTCCTGTGTTCCAAGGTTTTTAATGATGGTCTAACATTGGCCCATTCATGATATCAATCTAAACTCAATCTCCACAATCCTATACTGATAATTTAAACATTTTGACCTGATTTTATTTCTTACTGTTTGGTTTCAGAAAGGAAAAATAAATTTTTATCATATATTTTTGAATAATAGCTACCAGTAAAACCTCGTCATATTTCCGACTCATCAACTGAAAATCCACTGCCCTTATATTTTTATCGTTCATACTCAAGCTTGAAGTCATTACATAATCGCTTCAGATCTCACTGGTATATTAGCTAAACTACTGAGATCAGACAGTCACTAATGCTTGTAACATGTTCAATACACTAATAAAAACTGATTAACTTCAGTTCTGACCATCACTTCTCTAAGCGCTTGTTAGTAGATATTACCATTTCAGTGCTCAAACTGAGATTTATTCATTTTTGTTTTTCAAGTAGATGTTATATTCATATTTCAAAATATTGATCAAAATCTGTGAATTGAGAATATAGCTATTTAAAATAAAGTGTGTTTCTCTAAAGCCACTCATCGAGAGAATATATTTGAGCTTCAGTGAATTCCAGGACACCGAACTAAATTTCGCTTTTCACTAATAACTACTACTTAGTAATTGTGAATATTATTAGCTCAGTTCGTAGTAACTATTAAGCATGATGAGTTAGAAATTCCTACTGATTTTGATACATTTTACTAAATCAAATTGCCTGAAGAGAATACATTTTGGAAAGTATTGAAGAATTGGATACTTTATGGATCAACCAAAAACCACATGAAATAAATTTCTATCAGAAATTATCGATTATACGATTAGTGTCGACTTAAATGTGTATATGCTGAATATTTCTACTACACTTATGATTTGATATAAATAGATTATATATTCATATTTCAACTAGCAAGTCTCCAGTTCGAATCCTATTCCATCAACTAAAGTTTAAGTAATCCAATAGTATTAAATTGCTCTTAAAACTCATAACTAATCCAATAAACGTCTATTCGACGAATCTTTTTGTTGGGATGATCCTGAAAATTTCTCTCAATAGACATGATAGGTTCAGGAAACATTACGAAGCATTTTATCCAATCAGCGTTTAATTAGAAGTTTTGCTAGAAATATCGCGAAAATGAAAAGTCACAGGTAGAGTTTCTGATTGACTGATTACTACACTGCTACAATGTCTAGTAGTATTCTAGAATTTTCAGGAAAACCCAAGGACTTCTAAAATACTATAAAAATGCTATATTTTCTGCACACAAATGAACCTATGGAGTAAAGTGCTTCTCGTATATTTTGTGCCTTTTCTCTAGTGTTCAAGTCGATGTGTAGTTCTAGCTTGGCTAGAGGTTACGAGACTAGCTTAGGATCAGAATATAGCGTTCAATCAGCGAGACTTATCACAATTACAATAATAATTCTGCTTATCACTTAATGTCTTCATAGAATTATCAATTTAAAAATTAATCCCTTCTATTGTATACTATTGATGTAGTTAGATATGATGATGAATTTCCCAAATGCCCTGGTACGGCTGAGAGTGACGAGAATCCGCTCTTCCTCTCGAAATACTCTCACATGGCCACGCAAATATATAGCCTCTGCCAGGGAAGTCCTACTCATTGCCTTCTCACAGTGGCTGGGGTGTTGTTCACGGAAGTGAGAGGACGAAAAGCGAATGTCTGGCGCCTTATCCGGGTTGGTGGACACGGAAAGTCCACCTAGGGGAGTTGGAAAACCCTGATTCCAAACCATTGGTGCACATGGGCTCCAGTATCCTGAGGGAGCAAATGGTTTATGAATCAATTGTTGATCACCGGCTATCATGGGACTGCATCTCCTCACGATGCTCCACTGCCTTGTGGATCAGATCTTTAGGTCAAAGGCTCGGGGTATGGTCCCCTAAGAAAAGCACGTGAACAGTATCACAGCCTTCACACAAATCGAACGAGATTTGTGAGGCGCATATTTATCTGGTGCTTCCTTGTACCAATATTTATGTGTTTAAATAAATAAAATAAAAATAGTTTAGCATACAATAAAATACAACTAAACAGATGAATAAATGATACTGTTATCACAAAATTATTGCACACCATATACTTAATTACCATTTCAATGGGATTATATTTTGAATCCATTTATTATTTGTTATCGATTTTGTACAATACAGCTGGAAATATCTCAGTGTTATCTCTCTTCTTTTTTTTTATATCATCATTATATAAATTTGACATTTATGACATGCGCATTCATATTTGCCTTGTTTCTAACGATAGACGGTATCAATATCGTTCGCTTAGTATTCTCATATTTAGATTAAATATTAAACTAATATACTATTGGAAAGATAATATCATATCTAATATACTAAGCACTATGTCTAAAATGTTTCCGCCATAATGCCATATTTTTTCCACAAGATTCATAACTCTACTAAACATACAGTTTATGCGTATGTTATGCAACAAACTATCCCGATATTGTATGTTGTTTTCTTTTTTATTATACTTCAGTTAAATAGTGACTAGATTCACTTTAAATTGTGTGTGTGTGTGCGCGCGTTCGCTTGTTTATTTTATTATTATCTAACTTATTCACATTATTTGACAACTTAAATATTTCTTTTTTTTTCTCCCACTATCCTTTTTTTGTATTTTAGTTTGATCGATTCGGAAATTCTCTATTACATTGATCATTTTAAAACACTTACACCACAACTACAAAAATTCGTTGATGATTGTTCTGATATTTGGCCATCATAAATAATATTGATTATCCATTCACAAAAATTCTCATGTAAGATATGGTCTAATAATAAAGGAAGAAAAGATAAGCCACAAATACGCGCCTGCCTGTCTATATTAGCTAGAAGTATTTATTTACCTTGTGTCTTTCATTAATTATAAATGAATATATTTTATATTTTGTGAATAGATTGTGAGTCTTTCATTATGGTGAATGTTTATGTAAACTGATTTCTGTGGTAGTATCATTCCAATTGACATATTGAAATAGATCCATTTTGTGTGTGTGTATGTGTATGTGCACAAGACTTCTCTCTCTCTCTCTCTCACACACACACACACACTTGTGTATACACTTCTATTCTCTGTTATTGTCAGTATTATTATCAATATAAACATTTTGTATGTTGCTCTGTTTCTTTCTGTTCTACTTTATTCCTTCTGTTCATATTAAAGTGTTTTAATGAATAAAATTTTCACAATTAACTTTAATAATAGTAATAATAATCTGTTTAAACTATTATTATTGTTGTTGAAATGGGCTTACACAGTATTCATTGTATTATTTATTATTACTTCTATTGGAGAAAAGGTGGTTGTATAATTTCTTTTTTTAGGGAGGGATTGTCAATTAAATGTGTGGGTAAACAATGTAGAAGTTTGCAAATTTCTGTAATATGTATTATTGCTTATTGAAGTTTCTTTTAAACATTAGGTAACTTCCCAATTGAGTTCAAAATGTTTTGTTATGTTGTGTTGCTTTTTGAGTCTGTTACTCATATATATATCGTTGTTATATGGATATCCGAATCAGCTACTTGAATGATAGCCCCTTAATGCCCTGGTATGGCCGAGATTGGAGAGAATCCGCTCTCCCTCTCGAAATACTCTCACATGGTCACGCAAATATATAGCCTCTGCCAGGGAAGTCCTACTCACTGCCTTCTCGTGTCGGGGGTGTTGTTTACAAAATTGAGAGGACGAAAAGCGAATGTCCGGCGTTTTAACCGAGTTAGTGGACACAGAAAGTCCACCTAGGGGAGTTGGAAAACCCTGATTCCAAACCATTGGTGCACATGGGCTCCAGTATCCTGAGGGAGCAAATGGTTTATGAATCAATCGTTGAACACCGGCTACCATGGGACTGCATCTCCTCACGATGCTCCACTGCCTTGTGGATCAGAGCTTCAGGTCAAAGGCTCGGGGTATGGTCCTCTAAGAAAAGCACATGGACAGTATTACAGCCCCCACACAAATCGAACGAGATTTGTGAGGCGCATATTTATCTGGTGCTTCCTTGTACCAATATTTATGTGTTTAAATAAATAACTTGAATGATAAAATCAAGCGTTAATAGAAAGATTTTCATTCGAAATCCGAATCAAAAATATATGTACACTGATTTTAAAATGTACATCCTTCTCGCTTAGAAAATAAAATCACATTTCAGATCAGTAGCATCTGTCTCTTTTTCTTGAAAAAGGAGCTGAATCTTAGCCAATAGTGTATGCTCATCATAAAGTCTGTGTGATTGGTCCCGAAGTTTCATTTTTTCCTAGTCTTTGAAAGGCATGGTACCAACCATGTAGGTATTGGCTGAAGTTAATGAGACGACTATCGTATCGATGTGTGTAAAATGGGTTTTGAATGTTTAATCTAATGGCTGAAAATCATAAAGTAGTGATGCAGTTTATCTGCTGGTTCACTTCAGCTAAAATTTGACTAAACCTCCCTCGTATTTTATGACTTTACTTTTTTCACTTCATTGATGTATAAACAAAAAAGGCAATGAAGATGGATAAAAAATGTTTGTGTTCTTTTTGAACTTATTGTATCAAGTAATAATGAAGTTTGTTTCAATGTTATATTTGCTAATTGAATTTTAAAATTGGTAATTTAACTAGATCATTCGCATCTATGAATTCACGTCATCAATTTATGCCTCTACTTCACCTTCTAATTTATTGAATCGCAGTTTGGAAAAATGAACGTACTGAAATCTGTCTAGCGTCTTGAAGAATATGTTGAGCATGAAATTGTAGTGAAAACACCTGGTAACATAGGACTCTGAAACAGCGCTTCTGGATATTCAGCAGAATAAATTATAGTAACTTTTCTATGGCACCATTCTCTATCATCCGCTTAATTTTAGAGCTTACTAAATTTTGACAATCGATTATCCACTATATTCAACTAGGTAGTTAACGCAAACTATATTCTATCAGATATAATTTGTTAGACATTTTCGCTTCCGTAGGTAACGTAGAGAATCGTTTCTTTTGTGTACAAGTGTTTTTTTACGTTAAATTCATAGGAAAATTCAAATAAAGGACATGGTTTAAAGTGTAAATTAAATTCTTTATTGATTAGGATAAGCCGATTGGATAACTGAGAGTTACACTGGCTCTTGTTGAAGGCAGCTTGTTTTCATCGCCAGTATTTTCTAAAAAAATTTAAACAGAACGTTTTATGAACTCATCTTGACTGGATCTGTAAGCTCAATAACGATCGCAATCCAGCAGATATATGAACCAACAACCTCTACTGTACTTTTTTATAGTAAGGTCATTGACGTAAGTAATGTTTTTCCGGGAAGTTATCAGTGATCCATTTTCAAAGAAAATAGTTGGAAGTGCATAAAAAAGAACGACAACCAGCTTTCAAATAAAAGTCTTTAAAAAGTAAGAAACGTCAGTACTGTGTTGAATACCGCTTCGTTATTTCAAAGACATATAGATCAGAATGAAATTACGAGTTATTGTATGTTTTTAAAAATATATTTACCAGCAATAGTAAATTTAAGAAACTCTATAGGGAAATATTTAACCTCAAAAATTGATGGTCTAGAATTATAAATTTCTTGACAGCATTATCCCGACGTTAATGTGAAAGTCCTCAATGGATCACGTTAGCCTTCATTGATTTTAAAATTGATAATCAAAATTCAGTGTGAAATATTCATAGTTCATTTTCTGTGATCAAAATAATCGTTGGGTAAGAACATGAATCAGTTGGTTTACAATAGATTTTTTTTAATTAAACAATGAAATCGTTCAGCATCTAGGCTTAAATCATAGATTAAAATCCAAGAAACTGTATTGGTTTAAAACCTTTGATATATTGTTGAACTTATCTTCACTTCATCTAGGCTTTTATAACACACACTATTTGTACTACTTAATCAAAAGATGACTTTACCTCTGATAACATCTATTACTGGAAGTTATTCTTAGAAAATAGTTGAAGTAATAATCATATAACGTTATCTTACTTTGATATATTCATGTATAAATAAATTAAGTTTATATGATCATCATATTAAACTATTGATTGCATAGTGTTGTATCCCGAATAGAATTGTGAATGGTAACTTTTGAGGACTATGCATAGACCAATGTAATATGTTTATTTCCTATTGTATAATTGCTAAGTAGCTTAACTATTCATATTCATGTTCCTCTTATTATAAGCTTTATTTTGATCTATAGACTATTATCATACGATTTACCATTCCTGAGTTATTCCCAGTCTATTGATTACTGTTCCCCCTATTCACAGCCAGGTTTGGCTAAATCTTTTACAAATATTGTTCCCTATCTTATGATACGATGTAGTCAGTTTGGTTGATATATAAATCCAGTATGTTTGAGAATAATGATTCATATTGCCGAAGCTGTTATTAGTGTTTTGGACTCAAGTGACTGAGCTAGGCAGAAAGCAGGACTGATAAGTATTCAAGACTGCTCATACAGATTTTGTATATTATTGGGCGTTCAATAAATACACTCCTCTCTAATTGGCGGTTTTATCACCCACATATATCAACTGGGCAAGCAGGCACCCAATCGATATAACAATAGTATAAAATGTTTCTCTTTTTCAAGAATAAAATAAAACCCTTTCTTTATTTTACATTATTGTTGTACAAATTGAAAATGATATTATACAAGATTATTCAATAAAAATGTATTGAAAACCAAACTGAAAAGAAAATTTAATTTATACTGATGTGATTGTTTCTATATCAACGAGAGTAATAATATAACTCATTATGATATAAAGAGTAAATAATAATTTAGAATTATGTAATTGTATGAGATTTACAAATGTATCATACTACTGAATAACATCAAAAGTATGAGATCATGCATGGAAAAGATTGAATAAAATGTAAATTACCAGAATACTTTACTTATACAAACGTACACATACACACAGAGAGAGAGAGATAATGCGAGGACGGAATTATGATACATCATAGTTGTATTTAATAATTAAACATTAAAAACTAAGAAATCATCACAGTTGATAAGAAAACAGAGAGTCGATTATAAAATGATGACAATGATCCGAATAATGAATAAATAAAAAAGGAGTATCGTTTATCAACATTTTTCTGTTATAATGAAAGAATTTTTCTAGAAAGAAAATTCAATAGAATAAAAAATATTTATGGAGTGCTTAATTGTGAACATTCAGTTTCATTTTCATTCATAGAAATTTTATTTTGTGTTTGACGTGAACAACATCCATTACCAGTTAATCGAAATGAATAAGCTGAACTTGGTAAATTATCTAATCGACAAGCCATTGGATATAAGAAAAATGGATAAACAATTAAACCAAATAGAACTGATAATCCAACTTCTAAATAAAATCCATCTAATTGTGTAATACATGTTCCATGAATAGTTTCACAGGCCTAAAAAAAAGAAAGTTAACACAGGATCAATAAATATTGTTTAATTTGTTACGAATTTTACACTTAAACAAACGATTATCTTAACCAAGTCGACACAATGGGAAAATCAGTTAGACGAATAGTCCAAACGAATGGGTATCCCGATCTTTCATTAATTCTAATACTAAATTGTTTAGCTTAAGTTTAGTTTGACCTAATATACATTCCAATATTTATCCACGCCTCTAGTTGACAAGTTTAAAACTTGTCGCGTAAGCTGTGCTTATAAGTAACCGAATTAGAAGGAACAGCTATGATAGATGAATAAAGTTTACTTAAGTAGCGTTTTCAGCATAACTCCGACAAACGATGTTGATTATCCTGGGTTCATTTTCCGTTTCAGTCTCTACCATAATTCTTGCATTTTTCTAACTGATAAATATCTGGAACTTTTTCTAAGTGTAGGTCCTTTCACGATAATCGTGACGGAATGACTAGAAAATTACTTTTTGAGCGTGTTTTACTCCGTCTTGATATACCGTATTAAATATAAATAATACTATTATACCCCATATTGATCTCTGTCCGAGCAACGATTTGATTGGTCGATGACTAGTCATACAGAAGAGAAACATTTGTGAGGCTCTAATTAAGTCTTAAATTTCACACATTTTCTTGAGTCAGATAAAGCACTTGAATCCGAAAGACAGTTAACCTAGATTCATATTTTTATGAAGAGGGACAAATGAGTAGAAAACATTTAGGTCTGTGTACAAAAAGTACATTATGATCTGGAAAGTCATAGAGAGTTTGATGAAGAATTGGATAAGACCTTACAAATACTTACGGAAAATGCTTTTCTTCCCAAAAACGAGAACTTAAGTGAGATATTCTTCATCCACATTTGATCTGAAGAGGGTATGTTAGTCGAGATCACGAAAAACCGATCGTTGAGAACCCCAAGGAAGACATTCAGAAGAGCTATAAAGTGCCTTAAAAACCTGATCTGAAGGTATACCAGGGATAAATTAGAAGCTTATGTTACCTCGTTCTGAATCTATCAGTTGACTTCCTCTTATTAACTAGGTTGTGTCGGCCCAGCAAGTGTCCTCTTTCCAAAGACATACCCAAACATTACATTACATAGCCATCTAATAATTATATACAAAGTCAAGTAAACTGGGTCAGAAAGAGTCTGTGTTGGAAAGCTGTGCATGACAATGGCTTTAACAATTCATTAATTCAATCTTGTTTTCTGTATCCAGAGGAAACAAGTCAAATCCTTTAGTTTCCTCTGCCTTTAAATGCTATTGCTCGTCATCAATACGCAATTGTTTATTCTTTATGTTCTTCAAGTGGACAAGTATATTTATAGCTCTTTATACAATAACTCCACTTCATTGTATCACGTTACTCTTGAGCTTTTGCGTAACTTTCACTCAATAGTGGAAGATGTACTTTTATATAAACAGTAGGATGAACGTTTTATGTATATATGCCGACAAAAGTGTAAGACACTTTTTGGCGCAGTATTACCAGGCTCCAAATCAAACAACTGAGGACCTTATTGTTAGCATTATTCGTAACTAAAGCTTATTAAAATAGTTATATTAAATAAAGTTGCTTAATGTATGGAGAACACAGTTCAAGTATCCAAGTACTTGGTATGAGGTTTGCAGAAATTTGAGTGTTATTGATATCACAAACCGACCTCAGTTGGATAACCACTTGAAAACAAGAAACATTAGACAGTTTTTCAGTCGTAGTATAGAGCACCCAAGCAGTGCACATCTATGACTACCACGGGGACCGACTCCAGGACTTTTTGTAGGATGTGCGAACACTCAACCTCTAAACCACTAGGCCGGCTATCAACGGGGTATATCTTTAACTTCATATTCAACAACCTCCATACTGAAAGTTATTTATTACCTCATGGTATCTAGTCATTCTAGTAAAATGATCTTCATAGACAATTACTGTTCAGTATTCTAACATATTATTAGCTGGAAAGTACTTTCTACAAAGAAGGATAAATCTAAAAACTGATTGTTGATAGTTTTCAGTGATTCCATGATTAGGTTATTATGAAAGGCAACTTAAATTAAAATAAGATTTTGTTCAACACTTACTTTAATTCCATGCGGTAGTTTACAAGTTGCATTATATTGTTGTATTAATTTTTCTTTATCAAAAAATGAATAACTATGATTATAATTATCATTATTGGTTGTGTTATTCAATAATGAATTATTTGAATGGATACTTTGAATAATTGTTTGGTTGAACTCTTTCAAAATACATGCACGTTTAGTCAATGGTTCGATCAACGATAGGAAAGCAGTACTGGGCAAGCTACCAGCTTTTAAAGTAAAAATAAAAAGCATATATAGATATGATGGGAAAGGTTTTTTATTTGTAAAACTAATTTCGAATAATGTGAAATACTATTTAAAGTCAAACAGTAATATTCATCAGTTTACTTTCAAGTGTAGTATTATGAACTAGCCCCCAAATGCCCTGTTACTGTCAAGAGTGGGGAGAGTTGACTCTCCTTTCTCGAAGTGCTCTTAAATAACCACGTTCATGCAACCACTGCCTTCTCGAGGCGGGGATGTTGTTTATGAAATTGAGAGGGCGAAAAGCGAATGTCCGGCACTTTAACCGGGTTGGTGGACACGGAAAGTCCACCTAGGGGAGTTGGAAAACCCTCATTCCAAACCATTGGTGCACATTAGCTCCAGAATCCTGAAGGAAAAAATAGCATATGAAACAATCACTTGTCACCGGGTAACATGAGACTTTATCTCTCTACGTTGCTCCACTGCCTTATGAATCAGACCTTCGGGTCGAAGGCTCGGGGTGTGGCCCCCTAAGTAAACCACCTGCTTCGGTTTGGACACCCGGGTAGTATCCCAGCCCCCATATAAATCGAATGCTCTCTTTTACCAATAATTGTATTTCAATAAAAGAAAAAATAACTGAAGAACTTCCGATTTTCATGGCTGTTTTATTAGTGGCATGTGTATATTTGCTAAAGCATATGGATTTTAATAAAACAAAACTTGTCTGACTCAAACTTAGAAAACTATCATTCTTCTACGATCCATCCTAGCAGTGAATAATCCACTGTACCATACGATCACTCGATAGTTTTCCCATTTGATTGAGCCCATAAAGAAAAACCCGCCTGTACATGGAATTACAAACATTTTTAATTTCATGAGTAGGATTGGTCAGCTTAAACTGAAAGAGTATGATTTCTTTAGATGGAGAGTTTCATTTAGTAATATCCCACTCAAAGAGATTATCAATATCATCTGTAAGCAGTTTGATCGAAGTAGTTTTCTTAAGAAGAGACTAAAAGATCTGTATCTGTTATGCTCAGATAATGCAGCCTTAATTGGATGATAATTATTTTCAACAAGACCTCATCTTAGCTTCAATTTTTCTAGCGCAACTAGAAAACACCGTAGTAAAAGACATGATGAACTAATGTCACTGTATTTCACTTATGTTGGTTATACTTTCATCATGTGTCAATAGAGACCAATCGGATCATTTATTTAGATCTTTCAATGCGACTTACTCAAAGTTAAAGTATAAAAAAGAATGGATTTCTTACATTTAACGATAGCAAAAAAGGACGATTGTTGAATCTCATGTTCCGTAATAAATCTTGTCTAGTTACCTTCAACTTGATCTATTTATCTACCTGTGCATGCAGAGACACTTACATTCGAAGAACAGAGGAAATATCTGAAAGAATCCCTGAAGATTTACTTAAGAATTAAGTGTTTAATTGCCATAAACTATTAAACAATGCCATGGGAAAAATATTATACATTCGATAATTCAGCAGTTCTTTCTATTTCTTTTTCAGTGGTAAACAGATAGAATAACAACAAATTCTAAGTTTTGCAGAAGTAGTTGCTATTTCTTGTCCCAACCACAACTTATACGTTCAAAAAGAACATGTGTTCCACCTAGAACTGCCTTAGTAACTAATTCACTGCCCTTTCGTTTTCTGTTCTCTCAGTTATATTTATTTGATTTAGGTCATCTTTATTTGACCACAATAATACTTATTATTCATTTCGGTCAAATTTTCGTTCCTAACTTGTTATTATTACCAGTCTTATTATTTGAGGACTATTCAATAAAATGTTTGACCCTTTTTAAACATCTAATTACTCTTATTTTCGTCTACCTTCTGCAAATATTATTTTCATGGTTAGTATTATTATTATCACCACTATTATGATCATTTCACATTACTTTTTCGGTTATCACTATCAGTTTCGTCATTTTCGTTTACAGAAATCATTTATTCTCTGAAGAAGTGGCTTACACTGAGTCACGAAACGTCAGAAAAAATCTAATTTTTCTACTCATTGGGATATTACAAATATATAATTTATTTAAAAGAAGAAATCATAATGGTTTGCGTATGCTTTTGCAATCGATTACGTCATAGTCTCCCACTCAATATGTTCATGAGTACAGAAATTACATAAAATCATTGTTCACGAATGTTCCAAATGACTTTATACATGCTACACACCGAAGTATATTTGTGTAAACATTTTATTGAATTCGACGATTCAATACACATGTGGAAGATTTAGAACACACGAAATGAAATGTATTTAATTCATCCAACGATGTTCATTGTTCTTGATTTACACAAGTTAATCCAAACTATCATAAGTGTATGAACTTACAAGGATTATAATTGAAAGTAATCATCGTTAATTTTTAGTATGTAAAAGACTGCTTGACAGGTCATATATTTATGTTGCTTAGAATCAGAAACACCCAGTTACTGGATTCCAATCTCATTGCTCACATGTCGAATGTTTGTTGGGAAACATTTTTGTTATGATTTTTTACCATATTATAAGTGCATATTTTTGAAATACCAAAACACAGAAGAAAATAAATATCTGTGGTATTTCTAATAACATCTTTAGTGAGATAAACAATTATGTATTGAATTATGCCAAACCATTAAGTTCGTTAATACTCTAGATGAACGTAGTAAAATCCAACAGTTAGCATTTATTTCAGTCACTAGTAAACATTCTCATATTCGTAAATGATTTATCACTTTTTTAAGTGATATACTTAGATCTCAGCGAAACGAAGTCTCCTTATCTATTGAAAATATCAAGTGATTTATAACAGTTAGTTGATTGTACATCGATTTTCATCAGAGTGAATATATACATTTAAATATACATATAAAACATTGACAGCGGGAACGTTCAAACGTTTACAAATAAAATGCGAGTAATCTCCGTTGTACAAGCACATGACTATCTGGATTCAATAGCTATATGAATGACACATTATGGCTGTGAAGTGAAAAGTAATAGGTTCGAGTGTCTATGTAAACATCAACACTGGGGTGCGGGAATATATAGTTGACGGGTTCCAAATAAGACGAAACCCACTTATTGGATGTTTTCACTTGCCATAATCTATATTTTAAAATATTACTAACTAGATGGAAATATTGATGCAACCCAGTCAGAATGCACAATAAGAAAAGAAACTGACGAATTCCAATCCTTAAGATCAACAGCGGGAAGATTTAAGCCTTTCTAAATAGGACCAGACGATGCACATTTTCAGTGTGTTTTAGTCTTATTCTAGTTTTGATTATTATTTTGTTTGTTTGTTTTAAAGGTGTTATCTGTTATTATTGTCTTCTAACAATTCATGATAATAATTCTATTATTATTATCATTATGACTTTTACTTCCTTCATGTTTTTTTAGTATCTGTTAATTGGGCGATTATTTCCCACATTTCTGATTTATAAACTACTCTCTATTCTTCTATAACTTCTCGATCATGACGTGACCACATGTAGTCACTTTTTATCCTCCTATAGACTGATATATTGGTCAAATAACTATAAATATGAATGTACAATTTAAAATATTTTGTGGAAAAAATGAAAATTTCTTTCTTTCCATTCAATAACATAATGAATTATCTTAATTACCGGATTTTAAATATACTTGAAATTCAGATTTATTATCAACGTGGTGAAGCTCAAATTTACAGATTAGTTTTCTACTTTATTTATTATTCTAATCGATAGGATAAAATTTAATTAAGAATAAAAATTATATCTTAATTGCTTCAATGAAAACAAATAACAAATAAGTATCATTACCAAGTTTTGATTGAATCATTTCGAATGAATTATGCATTGGGTAAGTTGTTATAAATAAAATTAATGTATTTGTAATATCCCAATGATTAGATTTTTTGAAGTTTCGTAAATCTGTGTAAGCCACTTCTTCAGAGAATAAATAACCAAATTAACATTATTCCAAGTTTAAATAGTACAACGGAACAATAAAAAAATTGGAGTAACTTTAATTTGCTTATTTGTTCTCTGAAGTGGCTTACGTTGGGTTACGAAACGTCAGAAAATCTAATTCTTCTACTCATTGGAATATTACAAATATACTATTTATTTAAACTAACAGATAAATGTAAATCATAATAACATTTTCAGATATATATTAAAGAGAATAATAAAACAGTTTATTCATTTATAAGCAAAGATGGATAGTGGCTAGCAGTGAAATCCAGAACGCGTGTTTCGTCCTATTTTGGACTCATCAACTGGATGTACTTGCATCCCAGGGTTGATGTTCACTCTGGAACTCGAACCCAGTACCTTTCGCTTCAAACGCCATCGCGTTATCCACTCAGCTACTGAGTCCTGATAACCACTTGCTTGTGCAATGAGGTGAAGCCTTAATTCACTTAGTATTGTTTGTTTGAATCTTTCCATTAATGTTTAGGATGTTTATTCAATTATTCTGTTGCAACTAAATTGTTTCATATTAGATTTATGATTATTTAGATGAGTTATTCTTTTATTGTTTGTTTAAAATCAATCTATGAACAGTAGGATTTTGTGAAATAGTATGAAACGATTGGATAGAAATCCAAAGATGAGTAGTATTACATATGCATATATATATATGAGCATCTGTTGATGGAGATATCAATATTATTATTATTATTTTATAGGTATCAGTACCGAGATTGAACTTGATAGTTTGTATTTCTAACATCTCGTGACTTAATATGAACAACTTCTTCAGATTAAATATTTATTACTTATTTATTATTTATTCACTCTGAAGAAGTGGCTTACATTAAGTCACGAAATGTCAAAAAAACAGTTTTTTCTACTCATTGAGATATAACAAAAAAATAAATTTATTGTTTTGGTTGTTTTTGAAGCATTTAAACTATTGGAATTCCTACTGATTATTTAGAAATTTATTTGAATAAAACAAGAAAATACAATACTAAATGATATAAGTGTGTTAACATTAAATGAGACAGTATGCATTTTCACAAAACTATCATTTTAATGAAAGCAAAAAGAAATCGGAAAACTTTTTAAGTCAAGATGTTTTCCAATTGCTTTGAAGAACTTGAAATCATTTATTCACACTAATGAGCCTCAGTTTCGAAGATAAGCAATTGAAAAGTAGAATGAAAGATTAATTATTTACATTTTTTCAAAAAATTCAATGCTTTAAGCCAATGTACTATGAGAGTGATTTGTAGTAAGTTCAAATAGATGATTAACAATGGTAAAATACTGTTTAATGAATCACACTACAACACTACTATTTAGTTTGCATTATTTACCTTCTATAAAAAATAACTCGCTAATAATTGGAAGAAAATTAAGTTCGTAAATTATATTTGTAAACATCTCAGCGCTTGATCTTTAAATAAACTCAACGTTCTGCTCGGCAATCTTGTCCAAGATTTTTCAGGGAACTATAATACATGGTTCACTAACTAACTGTACACAAGACAATTCGTTCAACTACATTAACAATGTTGTAAGTAAGATATGTTGTAATGTGTATAAGTGGAGAGATTGTGGTAAGGTAACAGTTGTATGTACGTGTATATACATCTGATGAGAGAAAAATTCATTGATCGTATATCGCCTCTGATTAGGAATTTAATAAAAATAGATACTTTTTTAGATGATATGAGTCAAACATGTCACTGTGTGCATAAAGCGAAGATAAATAAATGAATGTTTGTGTTTTTGTGTTGACTAAACTGATTATTCATCGTATATCCAGATAAACTAACTGATTATAGAGTGACAGTAATTATTGTTCTTCACACGATAAAAGATGAGTTAAATGAGGTAAAATGTATTTAATAGTTGCTATGACATATCTAATTGTAATCCAACTCTTCTATTAATATTATTTGGATTCGTCCATGTGTGCAGCGCTTCAGCTGTTCCTCTCTATTTGTGTGGAACTAAACCATTCAGGACGATTGTGTTTCATAGCAAAAGCTTAGGCTAGACTGCCGACCGAAAAGTTAGACTTACCTATAGTTCAAAGGCTAAGATTTTTAAAAATATGATTTTCCCCTATAATATCTTACATTATTCGGCGCCTAACCACTGTCGAACTTTCCTTTCAAATTTTGACGAAAATTCTTCTAAACTGTAAGAAAAGCTATCGGGACCAGTATGATGCATAAAACTGATCTACTTAGCTAAACATCATACAAAGTACGATTTGATAAAAATACAAATGAAACTTTATAACAATAGTAATATCTCAAGCAGGATAACATAACAAACATTACCTACCGATATTAGAAACTGTATTCAACAAAGTCATATATGTTCCACCAACAGCTGGATCACTGATTTTAGCATGAAATGCTACCTGTACAACCATCATTATGCTTGATATAGTTGAATAAACAAATAATTTACTTAATAAAAGTATATAGAATAACCAAGTAAATGAATATGCCATATCTTTAACTGTATTTGCTGTATGATTTTGTGTTGAATTAGTTGTGAAATTATTGAAATCACTTCTGTTTAAGTGAATAAATTGAATTTGAGTTTGATTAGGTGGAATAATTCTAAAGTATGGTGTATAGTAAACAATAGGAATTGTCAACGAGGTCACCAATAATCTAAAAGTAAATATTGAGGAAAAAACAACACGGATAATGAAATTTTCACTTTATTCTTCTGATATTTTAATTCATAAGAAGCATTTTAAATAAGTTAATAGTATAGAGTGATTTGAGGAGGTTGTAGAGTTTTTGTAGTTTAGAACCTAATAGAAAACCTGGAGACAATAAATAGCCATTTCGTCCCAGCACGGAACTCATTAGAAGTGCCCATTCACTATTCAGTCATAGGAGGTTGAATTCAGTACCTTCGGTTTCGTGTAGAAACTTCTAATCTCTAGGTTACTGGTTCGCTTTGCACTGGTGTCCATGTCCAATTTCAAACAACCCGTGATATTAAGCAATCTTCATCTATTATTTTCACTATCACACACCAGACATGCGCTCGATCCCCGGATGAGGTTTATGGATGAACAATTCTGAGGGACCTCATACTAGAACGAAATAGCCGTCCAGTGCTTCCAGTTTCTCAATGGTGCACTAGCTAAAGTTAGTACATGATTAAAACTATGGAAATACTTTAATGTTTCGTTGTTCATTAGATTTAGATACAAATCAGCCTCAATATTATGCTGATGAAAAGAGAAAGGAATTACTTCTTTGAGTGGTAAGATTAACTTTCAGAATCTTAAAGAACATATGCGTATATATAGTACACAACAATTGATAATATACATTTGAATTATGTGTCTAAAAGTTCATAATAAATAATATGAGCTCAAATGTTAAAATAAACGACAACAGAGAAAAATCAATAAGTCATTGAATAGTACTTATATAGATTCATTCTTTTGAAATATTTTTATTTTTCAAGCTCAAAGCTACTTTTGACTTATGATATTATTAGAATCGTTGTTCGGAAGTTAAGAATAATCGTTCACAATCCATTGTATCAACACAAAGTGACTTGTTGACGGGGCAAACAATAATGAGTGTACTCTCAGAATCCATTGCTATTTTGAAAGGTCTAGTCTTCAATGTTTACGTTCGCAAAAAGAAAATCCTTCACCTTTTATTTCAAATACCCAATACGTTAATTACTTAGCCATCTAGTTCAGATAACTACGAGCTTTATGCAACAAAAAGTTTTAATATGAAAGCTTCCAATTTCAATTAAATTCATCGAAAATTATAGAACTACTAATTAAAGGTCTGTGTATATGACAGTTAAACCTATTATTTGTAGTTATAGCTTCTTTGTCATTCAACAATTGAATGATTAAGGATGATAATAAAGGTCACAAAGTGATCAGTAGTTATTCACTTTTGTCAGTTGTAACACATACTGAAGTTAGACATTAGCACCGTTGGATGCCGGCCTGCTCAGTGGTCTAGTAGTTAAGCGCCTGCGCGCTAGACTGGTAGGTCCTGAGTTGGAATCTCTCGAGGTGGGATCGTGGATGCGCACTGCTGAGGAGTCCCACAATAGGACGAAACAGCCGTCCAGTACTTCCAGGTCTTCCATGAATGTCTAGCTTCAATTTTATCACGATCTTAACTATATAAAACTTAAAGGTTATGAATGTTGATAAAATCGACACTACATTGTCGACGAGTAGTAAAAATGTTCAAAAGGAAACATTCTATCTAAGCATTCATAGACAGATAAAGTTGTAGTTTTAACTACCATCTAATTAATTCAGGGAAATTCTAAAGGAATGGATGTATATCTATGTAACTATCGTACGTTATTTTGTTCCAGTAAATTTATTCCCACAGATTGAACATAAATAAAACAATTATTTCAGTGTGCAAATAAAGAATTATGTGAGTATAAATAGATGCCATATTTAGACCTCATTAATTAACAAAACAATATTCCACTGAATTGAAATATACAATTTATCAAAAACCAAACAAATATATTCACCTTGGTAGAAAAGCAATTATGAATACTCCTAATGGTCTTGGCCCATTAGTCCAACGTGTAATTAATAATGGCAATATAGCTTGTATTGGCATTAACAGAACACCGAAAAGTGCTAAACGCTCTTTTGGAAATCCATGTTCAATTAGTTTTAAACTGAAAATTGTTTCTGGAGCAGCAAGACAAACCTTATTTAAAACAGAATAACAGAGAAAAAGATGAATGAATATAATTCCAATTAGAGATATGAAAAGTAACGAATATCATTCGTTTAACGGGTATAGTAAAGTGTAACAATTATGGAGACCTATACCCTCGATGTTGTTATAAACATCAGCTTCAGAGTACCCATAAGTTTAGGATCAACATCTTCAACGACGTCATATTTACAAGCGAAAAAGAATAAGCAAATAAAGTTCCATTCTAGGGTATTTTAATCAGCAAAACAAACCCAGGGACATTGGAAAGACAAGTAAGCTAAAAACCAGAATATTAAAATACAATAGTAACAACCTAACACTAAATTGAAAAACCAATTCACTATTCACCGTAATTAAGAACAACTGTCCTATCTGGTAAGTCAATATACCAGCACAAAATCATCCCTAAGAAACAGAGAAAAACCATTTTATCATGTGTGGTAAACGTTTAGGAAATCACACGAGGATATTAAAGTCTTTTGAAGTTAGCGTCTCCTACAAGCCGACAGAGTCATTTTAATCTAATTTGTGAATATCGAAAGACACAATAAAGTCGTCTAAAAAACAAATTACCTCAAATGTGAGAGAGATTGCACTGCACAAAGTTCGCACCTACGTACGCAAACACAAAATTAGGGTTAGAAAACATTACAAGTTCTCATTTATATCAGTGTATAAAAGCAAACACAAAATATATTCGATTGGAAAAGCATCAGAATTCCGAATCGAGAAAACTCGAATCCTAGACAGTTTCTAGTAACATACTATTCAGGTCAATATCTAATCAGTAAATATTTCGGCATAAGCCCTATTGACTATTCTATGGGGAAGAGGTTAACCGATCACGTAGCCAAGGATCAACCGAACCAAACGACAAACAAGAATACAAATATGAGTAAAGCTGGTGAAACCTCCGAAGATAACCATTTATGGATGACGTCACCAGAGTAGACTGATTAGGCGGTTCAGGTATGATCAAATATCTTATTTTTGCATAAAGTAAGCGAAGATAATGTTATCTAGAAAAACAATGAACACTTCACAAGTAAACCATCCAGTTCAGAAAACATAATACAATCAAGAGGTATCACAGTTTTTATAATATATATTTTTCTATAAAAAATAAATAAAGACGTATTGATATTACACTTGAATGTTGAAATAATATTCAGATGAATTAGATCTTCAAAAATTATTCAAGTAAATATTAATGTTATTCGTGTTAATGAATATCTTCAGTAAAGATACTGTAAAGTTAGAAAACAAAGACGTGACCCTTGAGGTCATGAATCGCGATACATGAAATTATGAAAGTAATAGGATAATGATCAGAAATAATGTATTGCGACAAGTTAATAATGCACATTAAAAACAAATAATACAACTGAGAACCTACGCTTTCTGACAAATAGTTTTAAAAAATATTTTATTAGTATGTAAACTGATAAACGTTTATGGATATGTCAAAATTGTTAATAGTTGGATAAACATTACAATTTTTTCATTTAGATTGATATCATGAGTGGATTAATGTTAGAACACCGTTGAAAACCTGGAAGGAATAGACGGCCATCTTCAACAGTGAGCACCCATGATCCCTCACACGAGACTAAAACCCAAGACTGGTGCGTCGCGCGAGTGCTCAACCTTCAGAATACAGCCGGCGTCCAACAATAATGATGTCTAACATTCACCAATCCACGATATTACGTGACCGTCTACCACTGTTTTCAGTCAGTAACTGCCTCATACCCGACACAGTTGAACTCTATTGGTCACATTTACACATGAGACCAAAGGTCCTGTATTAGAGTCCCGTGTGTGGGATCATGAATGCGCACTGTTGAGTAGTCCCATACCAGGACGTAAAGGTCGTCTAGTGCTTCCGGGTTTTCAATGGTGGTCTAACATTGATCCATTCATGATATCAATCTAAACTCAACAATCTCGACAACACTATACTGATAATTTTATATTGTTAAAATGCTTACATACTTAACATGTATTTATTTATCTAAAAACCAGATTTTTAAAAAAATTAATTGTTTATGTCGATAGAAGAATTTATCATTTTAGCTAATCAGCTCCACATTTATTTACAATCTACACACAAAACCATATTTGAAATCATGAGTCAATTGAAGCTAGACCACTATGAAAGACCTGGAAGCACTAGATGATCGTTTCGTCCCATTGTGTGATTCTTCAGCAGTGCGCATCCACGATTCCGCCTCGCGAGATTCGAATCCCTTCTGACAAAAACATATCTTAATACGTAAAATATTAATGAATCACTTTCTTATATTAACGGAGATTTTCAGGAATTGATCTCCTACCAGGAGGTCCACTTATCGATTTAGAATATGCAGATGACATAGTCCTGTTTGGTGAAGACGCTGACAAAATGAAGAGCCTTCTGTTAGAACTGTGTAACAATACCAAGATATTTGAGATGCGTTTCTCTCCATCTAAATGTAAATTGTTACTCCAGGACTGGCCTGCGTCAAAACCTGAACCAAGGACAGGGAGTGAAGTAGTCAAACGCGTCGACAACTTCACTTATCTTGGAAGTCTGATCAGCCCTAATGGGTTGGTGTCTGATGAAATCTCTGCACGGATTCAAAAATCCCGTTTGGATTTTGCCAACTTACGTCACCTAACGCGAAGGCGAGATATTCGTCTATCAATTAAGGGACGAGGATACTGCGCAGCAGCTCGCTCTGTTTTACTTTACGGCTGTGAAACATGGCCATTAAGAGTAGAAGATACTCGCAAGTTACTAGTATTTGACCACAGATGTCTTAGAAATAATGTTCGCATCTGCTGGGATCACCGGGTAAGTAATAGTGAGGTTAGACGCAGGGTATTAGGGTATAATGGTAAATCAGTTGATGAGGTCATGGCTCAGAATCGATCACAATGGCGCAGGTGTATACACTCTTTATCTTCCCTTAAACCTTGAGATTAAAATTGATTCATATCTTTCTTTCTTCCTGTACTATATCCTTATATACAAGCTTTCTTTTATATACTACCACCACTAAATTAACTTCTTTTATGAATTCGGTGTTCATCTTGTTGTGCTAACGGGGTATGGCAACTTGAACCGATGAATATATGTGCCTGGTCCTACGTCTTAGCCGACTGATTAACCAATATATTTTTATACTATAGACTTATTATGATGATACAATTACCGAATAATTTTTAACACTTATGAAATTAATTTTTACATATTTATTCTATTTTACAAGTATAAAAATATTATTTTGAGTTGTATTAAATGTCATGTATTATTTGGCACAGATACTAGACATTGTTACTATAATATACATATATATGTAATATGACGTAAACACTTTACATAATCAATCTTATTTTAATGAGATAAATACCTTTGGCTTTCAAATTCTTAAATTGTAATATAATAGAACCATTATAGTAGTTTTGTTTTATCAGTTAAAAATAAAAAAATACTTATAAGTAATATATGTATATATATACTACTTAAAATGTATCAAGTATATGTATTTTATAAATTGGTTAAGTCAGATCACTTTACCATTATTATGTTGTAAATGGCTACATATTTTGGCAAATATTAACTTTCATATAGTTGAGATCATGAGTCAATTGATGCTAGACCACCATGGAAAACCTGGAAACACTAGACGGCCGTTTCGTCCTATTGTGGGATTCCTCAGTGCTTCCAAGTTTTCCATGGTGGTCTAGCTTCAATTGACTGATGATCTCAACTATATAAAATTACTAAAATCTTCACAAAACCCCTTTCCAAATATTAGCATTTTTTAATGTACACATATATCTGCTAGGTGATGAAAGAATTCTTTCAAAGTTATAAACTTTTATCAACAATCTCAACAATTTGAGGGGTGTTTGATATTTATGATATCATGAGTGAACACTGTACAATGATTTTCACCACTATTTGATTGATATCACTTAATGATAGAAACGAATTAAGGATCAAATAACCACCACAAACTATCTATATAAAAATTAATTTCCCATTCAGTGTTGATAAATTTGAAAATAAATTCTAGATGTTTCAACGATAAGTGTCAAATAATCTATTTAAATTCTTATCGAACGCTTGACGATTGTTACAGGAGAATTGTAAGCTAGAACAAGATAGCTATCTAGTGCTTACCGTTAGTTTTCAGTGTTTATCTAATTAATATCAGTTCTTAACAGAAATCAACTTCATTTCAAATTAATTTATCACAAGTTATCCTATTCAATATAACTGTTTTGTTGATATCAATCCATTTGAATTTATGTAGGATATGTAGAATATAATATCTGATAAATTAACATTCTTCTTAAGAATCGTGTACTAAATAACAATTCGACGATCCTAGTTACCATGAATGTAATAAGAATGTACAGGTACTAATTATTTAATACTCTTCATACAGAAAATTCAAATTCATAAGGTAAACTAAATTCAGAAAAATAATAAATTGTCAACAGTTCAATTGAGCATTTAAGTAATTTTTGAATGAGTTCATGAATCGATTCATGTTAGACCACCATAGAAAATCTGGAATCATTGGACGGCCGTTCCGTCTTATACTGGGACTCCTCAGCAGTGCGCATCCAAGATCTCGCCTCGCCAGATTCCAACCCAGGACCTATCAGTCTCTCTCACGAACGCTAACCTCTAGACCACTGAGCTGAAATCCAACGGTGTTAAAGTCTAACATCAACCAACCCACGATATTGCGCAACCACCTTCTATTGGATTGATGTAGACGCCTGTCTTTATCTGAAATGGATTAGCTTCATTGGTCACAGCTTCCTATTAGAACTCCGAGAATTCCCTCCCTTAGCTAGTCACTAGTGAATACATGGTAAATATCAGTATGTGGTTGAGGAGATTGTTAGGTTTTTGATTAATTCTCAGTATGTCTGATTGTTGAATAATAAAAATCTATAGATTAATAATATCTTACACAAGGTTGGTA